GATTTTTTCAAATTCTTTCGTATATAAAAAAAGACACTATAGGGCCCTAAGATTTTTTCAAACTCTGGCAGAGACATAACAAGAGGATCCCGTTCAAATTTTTTCCAAAATTAAACTCAAGTATCTTCAAAAATTCATTCAAATTATTAAAAATGAGACATTAAGTAAGCCTAAGATTTTTTTCAAATTCTTTCTAAAATAAAAGTCAAAAAGATCATAAAGTTCTTCCACATCATTAAAAAAGAGACATTAGGGACTCCTAAGATTCTTCCAAACACTTTTGAAAATTAAACACTAGACATCTCCGATATTTTTTTCAAATTCTTTCAAAAATAAAACAAGGACACCAGAGATCTCTTTAGATAATTTCAAAAATAAAGTACCAGCTTTCCGCAAAATCTTTTCAAATTGTTTCAATAACAAAACTAAGATTCGTTCAACATTAAAAAACAAAGACATTTGGTACCACAAAGTTTCTTTCAAGATTTTTCAAAAACCAAAAAGTAAGGATCCTCAAGATTTTTTCAAATTCTTTCGTATATAAAAAAAGACACTATAGGGCCCTAAGATTTTTTCAAACTCTGGCAGAGACATAACAAGAGGATCCCGTTCAAATTTTTTCCAAAATTAAACTCAAGTATCTTCAAAAATTCATTCAAATTATTAAAAATGAGACATTAAGTAAGCCTAAGATTTTTTTCAAATTCTTTCTAAAATAAAAGTCAAAAAGATCATAAAGTTCTTCCACATCATTAAAAAAGAGACATTAGGGACTCCTAAGATTCTTCCAAACACTTTTGAAAATTAAACACTAGACATCTCCGATATTTTTTTCAAATTCTTTCAAAAATAAAACAAGGACACCAGAGATCTCTTTAGATAATTTCAAAAATAAAGTACCAGCTTTCCGCAAAATCTTTTCAAATTGTTTCAATAACAAAACTAAGATTCGTTCAACATTAAAAAACAAAGACATTTGGTACCACAAAGTTTCTTTCAAGATTTTTCAAAAACCAAAAAATAAGGATCCTCAAGATTTTTTCAAATTCTTTCGTATATAAAAAAAGACACTATAGGGCCCTAAGATTTTTTCAAACTCTGGCAGAGACATAACAAGAGGATCCCGTTCAAATTTTTTCCAAAATTAAACTCAAGTATCTTCAAAAATTCATTCAAATTATTAAAAATGAGACATTAAGTAAGCCTAAGATTTTTTTCAAATTCTTTCTAAAATAAAAGTCAAAAAGATCATAAAGTTCTTCCACATCATTAAAAAAGAGACATTAGGGACTCCTAAGATTCTTCCAAACACTTTTGAAAATTAAACACTAGACATCTCCGATATTTTTTTCAAATTCTTTCAAAAATAAAACAAGGATACCAGAGATCTCTTTAGATAATTTCAAAAATAAAGTACCAGCTTTCCGCAAAATCTTTTCAAATTGTTTCAATAACAAAACTAAGATTCGTTCAACATTAAAAAACAAAGACATTTGGTACCACAAAGTTTCTTTCAAGATTTTTCAAAAACCAAAAAATAAGGATCCTCAAGATTTTTTCAAATTCTTTCGTATATAAAAAAAGACACTATAGGGCCCTAAGATTTTTTCAAACTCTGGCAGAGACATAACAAGAGGATCCCGTTCAAATTTTTTCCAAAATTAAACTCAAGTATCTTCAAAAATTCATTCAAATTATTAAAAATGAGACATTAAGTAAGCCTAAGATTTTTTTCAAATTCTTTCTAAAATAAAAGTCAAAAAGATCATAAAGTTCTTCCACATCATTAAAAAAGAGACATTAGGGACTCCTAAGATTCTTCCAAACACTTTTGAAAATTAAACACTAGACATCTCCGATATTTTTTTCAAATTCTTTCAAAAATAAAACAAGGACACCAGAGATCTCTTTAGATAATTTCAAAAATAAAGTACCAGCTTTCCGCAAAATCTTTTCAAATTGTTTCAATAACAAAACTAAGATTCGTTCAACATTAAAAAACAAAGACATTTGGTACCACAAAGTTTCTTTCAAGATTTTTCAAAAACCAAAAAAGAAGGATCCTCAAAATTTTTTCAAATTCTTTCGTATATTAAAAAAAGACACTATAGGGTCCTAAGATTTTTTCAAACTCTGTCAAAGACAAAACAAGAGGGGTCCCGTTCAATTTTTTTCCAAAATAAAACTCAAGTATCTTCAAAAATTCATTCAAATCATTAAAAAGGAGACATTAAGTAAGCCTAAGATTTTTTCAAATTATTTCTAAAATAAAAGTCAAAAAAATCATAAAGTTCTTCCACATCATTAAAAAAGAGACACCAGGGACTATTAAGATTCTTCCAAACGCTTTTGAAAATAAAACACCAGACATCTCCGAGATTTTTTTCAAATTATTTCAAAAATAAAACAAGGATACCAAAGGTCTCTTTAGATTATTTCAAAAATAAAGGGACCTAAGATTTTTTCAACCTCTGTCAAAGAAAAAACAAGAGGTGTCCCGTTCAAATTTTTTCCAAAATAAAACTCAAGTATCTTCAAAAATTCATTCAAATCATTAAAAAGGAGACATTAAGTAAGCCTAAGATTTTTTCAAATTAGTTCTAAAATAAAAGTCAAAAAGATCCTAAAATTCTTCCACATCATTAAGAAAGAGAGATTAGGGACTCCTAAGATTCTTCCAAACACTTTTGAAAATAAAACACTAGACATCTCCGTGATTTTTTTCAAATTCTTTCAAAAATAAAATACCAGGAATCTCCAAGATCTTTTCAAATTGTTTCCATAACAAAAAATAAAGATCTCAAAAATAGATTTCAAATTCTTTCAAAAATAAAACTTGAAAGGCTTCTAGGACTTGTTCAACATTAAAAAAAAAAAACTTGGTACCACGAAGTTTCTTTCAAGGTTTTTCAAAAACCAAACAATAGGGGTCCTCAAGACTTTTTCAAATTCTTTCGTATATTAAAAAAAGACACCATAGGGCCTTAATATCCTTTCACACTCTGAAGACAAAACAAGAGGGATCCCGTTCAAATTTTTTCCAAAAAAAAATCAAGAATCTTCAAAAATTCATTCGCATCATTAAAAAAGAAACATTAAGGAAACCTAAGATTTTGACAAAAAACCAAAATTTCCAGGATTTTTTTCAAATTGTTTCTTCAACGTCTTTCAGTACCGTACCTGACCTGACCTGGCCTGACCTGACCTGACCTGACCTGACCTGACCCACCCTGAACTGACCTGACCTGAATTAATCTAACTTTCATCATTCTAATATGTCACCCACAAAATGTTATACCAGCAGTTGATTGGCTACAAAAACCCTTACAGACTTGGAAACTAGCCTTCTTGGTTTTAGAGCCATCAGAAGTGTCCGGGCTCATTTTGACCCTTTGAGGAGTTTTCCTATGTGATAGGCTCTTGTCCCTTATTTAAGCTACTTCTTCACGAAGCCCTTAAACAAGAAGATATTTTAGACCCTCAGAGATCTTCAACTCGGATGCCTGGGGCTCGCTAAGCCCGTGTTCATTCGAAATTCAACCAATTTTTCATACACTAAAGTATATCCAAATATAAACAAAGCTCTGTTAAATATTTAAAAACGTCGTTGTTATTCATTCCGTTGTAAAATTTAAATTCGTTTGTGTGACCAACGCCAGCACGCATGAATTTGCGAAGACAAACAAAATCAGCAAAATTAATGTTGTGTCATTTTTCCTCTAATCAATCGATGCTTAAACAACAATATCAGATAAACTTATCTGCACCATACCTTGCGTAAAACAGAATTCTTAACCCTAACAAATATCATATGGCAGATAAAACTTATCTCGTCGTTCATTATCATATTTTTTATTTGTGTACGTACTCGACGCCACCTCTCCAAATTTTCGTTTTGTTGCAATTCCATAAACACACGCTTATTTATAGCACGGGCGCGATTAAACCGATTTTATCCACGAGCGGAAAATTTAGCGCGCGCGATAAAATCTCTTTATTCCCGTGTACACTACATGATTTTTTCCAACGACCGCGCCAACACTTTATTTATCACCGAAGACGTAAATACAGCCTTTATCGAGTTAATCCCGCACGACACACCTATCTCCACCAGCGCGGTAATTGTCCGGATGAAAAATGGCCCGTAATTTGAAAACCACCAACTAGACGCCAAAAATATATTACTGGATTTCGTCAAAATGAATGTCATCAAAACGGCGATTTACTCGAGGCGACAGAACCGAGCATTTCCATTCATATTCATTCATATTTTAACCGATTTCGAGTCATTTAAATTTCTAACGTTGTCGCTTTTTTTGTTCTTTTGAATAATGCACTCTCTTACTTTCGAAATGAACATTCTAAATTGCAGCAGCGGGCTGAAACGGCGCTACGGTTCCGCATCCGGCTGTGGCTGTCTAATTTATTTTCTCTAATTTAAGTGTTTGAGTTGGGCTAAAGATGACAACAAAGTTTGCCTTTGCGCACACATGCCTACACCATATGGGATGACCCGGGTTCTTTCGGGATAATTAAATTTATTGTCGGCTTGATTGCTGAGAGTGGGAAACTACTAAATGTCGATTAATTCGGAGAAAACGGTCGCAGAAGCTGCAATGATAGTTCTAATTAAATTGCCGCTAACGTAATTACAACTTTTTTACTGTTAAGGGGAGAGAGTAATTTAGATCTCCAATTAAAAGAGCGGCGTGTTCAACAACGTATGTTGATATCCTCACGTCACTGTTTCTGAGGTTCGCGCTAATTTTGTTGCGAAGTTCCAGAGTTAACCCAAATTTTAATTGTGTCGGATCAAAAGTTTCCTTTATTTTATCAAGTAGTCTAAGTATTGATTAATTTGTAGATAAGGTGCTGTTATCATTTTCATGTACTTGAGCACAATCACCAGCAGTATTTATGTAGCGGGGCTTCTAGTCGATGCAAGTGAGCTAGAAGCCCCACCACCGAAAATTCAAAACTCATTCTGCGTTCCTTTCCAGAAATGACTAAGAATGTCCAACGAATCGGGTAGTCTGAAGCCCCCGGTGACCAACAACTCGAGCGTCGAAGAGTCCGCGACGCACATCCAGAAGCTGGCCCTGGCGGCCCTCCTCAGCGTGGTCATCGTGGTGGTGATAATCGGCAACACTCTCGTTATTCTGGCTGTGATAACAACAAAGAGATTACGTACAGTAACGAACTGCTTCGTCATGTCGCTAGCAATAGCCGACTGGTTAGTCGGCGTCTTCGTCATGCCCCCGGCGGTGGCTGTGGCTTTGATGGGTAAACAGACGCCGGTGGAGGCTAATCGCTTAATACAGAGTCGGATTCACAGGTACCTGGGAACTTGGCTGGGTTTTGTGCGACATCTGGGTGTCGCTGGATATCCTCCTGTGCACCGCGTCGATCTTGAGTCTTTGTGCCATAAGCGTTGACAGATATTTAGCAGTCACTCAACCGTTGAACTACTCGAGGAGGCGAAGATCGAAGAGGTTAGCCTTCACCATGATTCTTGTAGTGTGGCTGAGCTCGGCGCTCATCACGTGTCCGGCCATGTTCGGATGGTAGGTTCATTTTATTTATCTGTATTAATACCGGGTGATCAGAAATTACTCAGTTTGTTGGCAGTCCTAGATTTTTAGCTGAAATTGGTATCATGATGTTTTTTATCATTTCCGTTTGAAGTTGTAGTTTGATGTTCAACTTTTGCCGTATTTAAAGGGGTTGTCGAAGAAAAAAAAAATTACATTTCGCCTTTATGTTTTAATATGTGTGGACTTCTTTTCGCAACATGAAACTTAAAACATTTTTAAAATGGAAAATTTGTATAAGGAAATATCAATTTTTCAATTAGGCTCCCCCCTATAATAGCAAAATCCATATTTCCTTGCAAAAATGTAGCATTTTAACCATGTTGTAAGCTTCTTTTTGTCGAAATAAGTCTACACATATTCAGAAAAAAAAAGGCAAAATGCAGCCCCGCCCACCCACCCTGTCTCAATTCTGATGATTTTTTTTATTCGTCGTGATTCGAAAAGGCGGAGTTTAACTGCAAAATTCTTATTTCTCTGCGAGAAATTGATACACGATACTCAAAAACATGTTTTTGAGTATCGTGTTCAAAGAATGCTATGTATATTAAGGAGAAAATAAAGCCTGTGATTATGCCTCACCCATACCGGCCCCGATTTCAATTCTCAATTGTGCTGCATTTTTCATTGGTTGTCAGATCAGGGGGCGGGGCTTAATTGCAAGATCGTTATTCGTCCACAAGAATTTACGATTTTAACCATGTTTTAAGTTTCTTGTTCTGAAAAGACGACCACGTATATTAAGGAAAAAGGCAAAATATAAGCCCCGCCCACCCACCCTATCTCAATTGTGATGATTTTTTTTAATCGTCGAGAGCCAAGGGTGCGGAATTTAATTCCAAAATCCATATTCTCTTACAAAAATTTACCATTTTAAACACGTGGTGGGCGGGGCTTATATTTTTCCTTTCTTTCTTAATATACACGATACAAAACAACAAATTTTTAATTTCTTGTTAAGAAATAAGACTTTTGCAGTTAAGCTCCACCCCCTTGCGTCACGGTGAATAAAAAAAATCATACGATCGAGACAGGGCAGGTGGGCGGGCTTACATTTTCCCTTTTACTTTTAATATGTGAGGACTTCTTTTCCCAATATGAAACTTAAAACATGTTTAAAATAATAAATATATAATTATGTTCCGCCCTATAATAGCAAAATCCATATTTCCTTGCAATAATGTAACATTTTAACCATGTTCTAATCTTCTTTTTGTAGAAATAAGTCTACACATATTAAGAAAAAAAAAAGGCAAAATGTAGCCCCGCCCACCCGCCCTATCTCAATTGTGATTATTTTTTTTATTCGTCGTGTCGTCATTCGAAAAGGCGGAGTTTAACTGCAAAATCCTTATTTCTCTACGAGAAATTGAAAACATGTTTTTGAGTATCGTGTTGTTCAAAGAATGCTATGTATATTAAGGAAAAAATAAAGCCAGTGATTGGGCCTCATCCATAACCGTCCCGATTTCAATTCTCAGTTGTGATGAATTTTTCATTGGTTGTCAGATCAAGGGGCGGAGCTTAATTGTAAGGTCGTTATTTGTCTACAGGAATTTACGATTTTAACCATGTTTTAAGTTTCTTGTTCTGAAAAGACGACTACGTGTATTAATTAAAAAGGCAAAATATAAGCCCCGCCCACTCACCCTATCGCAAGTGTGATGATTTTTTTTTTTCGTCGAGAGTCAAAGGAGCGGAATTTAATTGCAAAATCCATATTTTCTTACAAAAATTTACCATTTTAAATGTGTTTTAAGTTCCTAAGAAAAAGAATCATCAGAATTGAGATGGGGTGGGTGGGCGGGGCTTATATTTTGCCTTTCTTTCTGAATATACATAGTATTCTTTGAACAACAACTCAAACACAAATTTTTAATTTCTTGTAAAGAAATAAGAATTTTGCAGTTAAGCTCCACCCCCTTGCGTCACGGTGAATAAAAAAAATCATCACAATCGAGATAGGGCGGGTGGGCGGGCTTACATTTTGCTTTTTAGTTTTAATATGTGTGGACTTCTTTTCCCAACATGAAACTTAAAACATGTTTAAAATGGAAAATTTGTATAAGGAAATATATAATTAGGCTCCGCCCTATAATAGCAAAATCCATATTTCCGTGCAATAATGTAGCATTTTAACCATGTTTTAAGCTTTTTTTTTGTAGAAATAAGTCTACACATATTAAGAAAAAAAAAAGGCAAAATGTAGCCCCGCCCACCCACCCTGTCTCACTTGTGATGATTTTTTTTATTCGTCGTGATTCGAAAAGGCGGAATTTAACTGCAAAATCCTTATTTCTCTACGAGAAATTGAAAACATGTTGTTCAAAGAATGCTATGTATATTAAGGAAAAAATAAAGGCAGTGATTAGGCCTCACCCATACCGGTCCGATTTCAATTCTCAATTGTGATGAATTTTTCAATTTTTCATTGGTTGTCAGATCAAGGGGCGGAGCTTAATTGTAAGGTCGTTATTTGTCTACAGGAATTTACGATTTTAACCATGTTTTAAGTTTCTTGTTCTGAAAAGACGACTACGTATATTAAGGAAAAAAGCAAAATATAAGCCCCGCCCACCCACCCCATCTCAATTGTAATGATTTTTTTAATCCTTAGAAACTTACAACACGTTTAAAATGGTAAATTTTTGTCAGAAAAATGCAAGACATAAGCCCCGCCCACCCACCCTGTCTTAATTGTGGCGATTTTTTTTATTCGTCGTGATTCGAAAAGGCGGAGTTTAACTGAAAAATCCTTATTTCTCTACGAGGAATTGAAAACATGTTTTTTTGAGTATCGTGTTGATCAAAGAATGCTATGTATATCAAGGAAAAAATAAAGCCAGTGATTAGGCCTTACTCATACCAGCCCCGATTTCAATTCTCAATTGTGATGAACTTTTCATTGGTTGTCACATCAAGGGGCGGGGCTTAATTGCAAAATCGTTATTTGTTTACAAGAATTTACGATTTTAACCATGTTTTGAGTTTCTTGTTCTGAAAAGACGACCACGTATATCAAGCAAAAAGGCAAAATATAAGCCCCGCCCACCCACCCTATCTCAATTGTGATGATTTTTCTTTTAATCGTCGAGAGCTAAAGGAACGGAATTTAATAGCAAAATCCATATTTTCTTACAAAAATTTACCATTTTAAACGTGTTTAAGTTTCTAAGGATTAAAAAAATTATTACAATTGAGATGGGGTGGGTGGGCGGGGCTTATCTTTTGGATTTTTTTCTTAATATGCATAGTACTTTTGGAACAACACGATTCTCAAAAACATGTTTTTAATTTCTGGTAAAGAAATAAGGATTTTGCAGTTAAGCTCCGCCTTCCTGGCTCACGACGAATTAAAAAAAATCATCAAAAATAAAGCCAAAGATTAGGTCTCACCTGTACACACATTGATCTAAATTCTCAATTGTGATGAATTTTTCATTCGTTGTAATATCGAGGGGCGGGGCTTAATTGAAATATTTACCATTTGAAACATTTTTAAGGGTTATGTTCTAAAAGAACGACTACGTATATTAAGAAAAAAGGCAAAATATAAGCCCTATCTCAATTCTGATGTTTTTTTTAATTCGTCGAGAGCCAAAGGAGCGGAATTTAATGGCAAAATCCTTATTACGAGAAATTAAAAACATGTTTTGAGTATCGTGTCGTTCAAAGAATACTATGCATATTAAGAAAACAACAAGCCAAAAATTAAGCCCCACCCCTATCCATCCCAACCTCAATTGTATGAATTTTTCATTCGTTGTCAGACCGAGAGGTGGAGCCTAATTGCAAAATCGATACTTTCCTACAAAAATTTACCATTTTAATCGCGCCGGAAATCCATTCATGAATGAAACAGTGTTATGGTTGAACTAAATTTAAATAAACTTAATATGTTTTTCGATGTTTGTTTGTATCTGGTTACTACTGTTTATGTTCGAAACACTAAAATAGCTCGCTCATAATTAAAATTATAGTCCACGACTTGTTGAATTTTAATCGTCCCCTTTTCACTTATTGTGTGTTGTTGCCATAAAGGATATTGAGTTTAGCTTAATTAAATCGGGCGAAGAAAATCGAAGCAAAGTTAAAAACGCGGTGTATTATTTCTAAATATAGACAATCTTCTAACTTGATTGAATAAGGAAATTAAAAGATTGCTTGTTATTAAAGTCATTTATTAATCAAATGCTGAGATTGCTATAAACTTAGTCAAGACTGTCGCCTTGACCGTAAGCTCGCCAAATTTTAATCAAGATAAAAATAAAATCCCCCAAGTTTACTCTAACAACACCATCTGCTTTCTTAGTGTAGCCAACTCCACTTGTCTTAATTATTTTTGTTATAAGCCCCCGAGTGTTAAAAAATCATAATGCTTTCAATTTCAGCTTGTTTGTTTTACAATTTCGAGTCGCTTTGATCTGTTAAATTTAGTCAAGAATACGGTTTTGTTCAATAACGATGTATACATTTTAATTTACGTGCAAACGCTTGTCCGTGGCCTATTTTTGTAAAATTCAATAACGTCACTGGTAATTACTGGTTAATGCATAATTTATTATTGTGTAAAAAATGAAAAATGTATCGTAATGAATGATGTATTGACGAAGTTACGAAAACAAACTTCTGCATTAAATTTGCAGGTAAAACGTGTTTGTTTTTCATGTCGGTTGCCATAAATAAAGTTTTTCGCGATTTGTAATTGCCGGATTTATGGCGTTAGTAATCAGATTTGTGATAAAAATCGAGTTTTCTTTGGTATGATCGACGAAATTGACTTTGATTTATTAATTACCAGGAGCTGCCGTCAAAAATTGTTAGTAGACGAAATCCATGTGTAGGGTGGATTTATTAGCTATTACAAAAGAGAAAAAATAATACAACAGGCACTAAATTGTCACTAGCGCAACGAATTTTGGATATCTCGGGTTAACTTTGAGCGTTTTAATCCACGCTACAAGAAAACTGTA